CTTTGTCTCTCTCTCTCTCTCTCTCTCTCACACACACACACACACACACACACACACACACACACATTCTCCTGTCTATTGATGGGGAGCGCCACCTATTGGAAACTGGGTCCAGCGTCCCATGAACATCGCCAATGAAGCACCAACCGGGACCGCACACGCACTCTCTTCGAGTTATATATAGCGAACWTGACAAAACATACATATAGCATAATCACTACCTTACCCTTCCCGAACCACATAAACAAACGAACTACGGGCTGCGCACCCGTGCCCTCACGGTAAGTCAATCAGTAAGGTCTTCAGCCAACACGGGTGTGAGTGCGCGTGTGAGTGGGTTGCGTGTGGTGTGTGGGAGAGCGTTGGCTTTGGACACTACCATCCAGAAGGCTGGCCATCCCCCATTTCATAAGACCTTTGCCAAGCTTACTGTCTAGAACATAAAGCATGCTACCCGAATGGCTGCGTCCTTTTTTTTTTTTTTTTTCGGTCATTTTAGTAGTACCGGGAACCCCTTAGCAGCCACATCCGCGCTCAAGCCTCCAACGAGGTGCTCAAGCCTCCAACGAGGGAACATGCGGGAGCTGCACCCACCAGCAGGTGCGATACCTGCTCCAGCAGGTGGGCAATACCGGCCAGGGGTCAGCCGGTAGCATCAGGACCCAGCTTCTTCGATGCGCCAGTCACTGTGCCTCCCCTCCGGTCCGCTCCCCCTATGAACATCAGCAGTCTCTGCTCAATGCTTCTCGGGGGGACCGATGGCATATCTCTAGGTGGCGGGCACCAGGCTTGCCCAGGAAGGTGCATGAGGCCAATGGGGATTGAACCCAAGAGCTCCTGATTGCCACTTGCGTGCCTTACCAACTGAGCTACTGTAGGCCCCTGGATTGGCGACGAGTTTCTTTTCAGCAAGGCTGGGTGTTTCTTGTGGCGGGAACGCGGGATGCTGTACTATACGGAAAATGGGCGAGGAGTGACCGCGAGGGTGGGGGGCGACAGGGGAGAGCCGGAAACTGGCGGGATTTCGAGCCCGTGCCGGGAAGGGTGGGAGGGTAGGCTTTCGGGAAGGAGTGGTTCACCGCAGGGAAAGAGGAAGGGAAAAAGGGGGAAGAGGAAGGAGAAGATTGACCAGCTAGCGGCTTTTTCGACGCGCGAGCTGAAGCCATTGCGACTTCTTTATCAGCCTGGCTTGCAGCCATCGCTCTCTCTCGATCAGCGCATAGTCCTCGTACGCGCGCTTTTATGCGGTGCAGTGCATTTCCTACACGATTCCTGACCGTTTTATTCAGACGTCGTCATTACTTGATGAGACGAATATTTTTCCTTTCGGTGTTTCCTCCAACACGCCTAACGCGAAGGTTAGCTTTGGAAGGGGAGACGTGTGTCAGCGAGGGATTTGATAGCGTCTTGGAAAAATTGGAGAGCTCCGGGTGGTGTTCTCATCCTTTCCGCCTCTGTGGGAGGCAAAGTGTGGTGGCGTCGAACCCAACTTCGTGTTGTGTGAATTGAATGAAGGCATATCCAGTTGTGTGAGGTCAACGAAGGGGCATTGAACCGCGGACCCCAGAGTTTCGGCGCTCGTAACCAGCTGAGAAATCGACATAGTAGCAACGGTTGAGAATAGGGCGTGGCTGGAAAGTTGAGAGGTGCGATATTCGCTGGATCGATTCAGCGTGGGAACGAGGGAGAAAGTGGCGGGAAAGGGAGAGAAAGTAGGGTGGGGTAGCTGTCACGGAGGAGGGAGCAATGGCGCTGAAGCAGTTAGAAAGATCTGCCACGACGGCGTTCTCGCCGTCGCGGCCGCTCATCGCGGCGGGAACTATGGCGGGGGCAATTGATTTGGCGGTGAGCACTTCAGCGGCCGTGGAGATTTTCCATGTGGACTTTGGCAGTGACGATATCAACCTGCCGCTGAAAGGAGGGGCTCCTACGAGCGAGCCATTCAACAGGCTTTCTTGGGGGGCCACGGCGTCCGATACAGCAGGGTACCCGTTTGGCATTCTTGCTGGTGGGCTAGTTGATGGTTGCGTATTGCTGTGGAACCCTGCCAAGATCATGGGGTGAGTCTGTTCTCATTCTCCTTTTTCTCTCATCTTGGTTGTCGCCCTTCTCTTACAGCACCTTGGCGTAAGTGTTGGAAACCAGGGACGATATTTATAGCCGGAGTGATAGATATGCCCGTAGACTTGCGAGGCGCCGTGTAACGAATGGTTTCGGGTTCGTGGGCACCTTTGCACGTCTGTGATTTTCGTGACCGATCGATTAATTAGCTAATACGCCAGGAGCGCAAGGAATCACGAAAATAATGACGTGACATGTGATTGGCGAAACATCTGATCAGGGAGAGATAGGGAGAAACAGAACAGGGCACCTGCTCCGGGGCGGGGATACCATCACGACTTTAGAGATGAGGGGGAGAGAAGATGGCCGGTTAGTGGTTAGGAAGAGAGTAAGGAGATTACGTATGCTTTTCTTCGAGAGTTCTGGGAGGGTGAAACGAGTGTGTAAGGAATCGAGGGCTGGCACTACTCCAAGGAGAGAATCCAAGGAGCGGGAAGAGTGAATGGCAATGGTGCGTGTGGGTGGATACGAAAAGAGTTCATCTGGGATTGTAAGGCTGGTTTGGAAGTCGGAGAGACAAAGGGAGGGCGTATTGGGCTGCAATGTGTGTGGGCCTGGATTTTCTTTTGTTTTTCTCTAGAGCGCGCGCGCGCGCACGAGAGAGAGAGAGAGAGAGAGAGAGTAACTCGTGCTTTGTAAGTTGAAATCATCTAGCTAGTGGGCCTCGTTTTTCTCGTTTTTTCGTTCGTGTGTGTGTGTGAGTGAGAGAGAGAGAGAGAGAGAGAGAGAGGGAGAGAGAGAGAGAGAGAGAGAGAGAGAGAGAGAGATTAACCAGTGCGTTGGAAATTGAAGCCTAACAATTGTTGAGATGGAGGTTGCAATCTGTTAGCATATGGTGCATTGAAGGTTGTCCAGGTGGTAGAGAGTTCGGGATTTTTGACACGGGAGAGAATCTGGAGATGGAAGGGATGGTAGATCGCGAAGTCGACAGAAAAGGTAACGACGCCGGAACAGGAGTGTTGTGGGTATGGGAAGGAGAAAACGGTGGTACTTGTTTATCGAGTGATACGCTGGTGATTGCGAGATAGGTTGTTAAGTCGACAGAAAAGGTAACGACGCCGGAACAGGAGTATTGTGGGTATGGGAAGGAGAAAACGGTGGGACTTGGATTGAGTGATACGCTGGTGATTGCGAGATAGGTTGTCAGACTAAATAGAGAAGATAGACTTATGGAATTGGAAAATGACACACAGATAGATAGATAGATAGATAGAGATAGATAGATAGAGATAGATAGATAGATAGATAGAGAGAGAGAGAGAGAGAGAGAGAGAGAGAGAGAGAGAGAGAGAGAGAGAGAGAGAGAAAGAGAGAGAATTAACCAGTGCGTTGGAATTTGAAACCTAGAAAGTGTTGCGATGGAGGTTGCAATCTGTTAGCAGATGGTGCGTTGAAGGTTGTCCAGGTGGTAGAGCGTTCGGGATTTTTGACTCGGGAGAGGAGTCTGGAGATGGGAGGGATGGTAGGTCGCGAAGTCGACAGAAAAGGTAACGACGACGGAACAAGAGTGTTGTGGGTGTGGGAAGGAGAAAATGGTGGGACTCGTCTATTGAGTGATACGCTGGTGATTTCGAGATAGGTTGTCGGATATCTGAATGGAAGGGATAGACTTATGGAATTGGAAAATGACACACACACTCACACACGCGCACACACACGCACACACACACACACACACACACACACACAGAGAGAGAGAGAGAGAGAGAGAGAGAGAGAGAGGCATCTCAGGTTCATGACTCAGCCTTGATTGCATTACGGTGGAAACGTCTTCAGGGAAACAGTGGACTTTGGTTGGGCTGTCAGAAAGTGTGACGGGATGCTAGATGTGAGGCATTGCCAGGATTCTATTTTTTGCTTTTCAGATGTGAGGCATTGCCAGGATTCTATTTTTTGCTTTTTTTGTCCCCGTATCTCTTGTCTTGTAATAAAAAGAGTAGTGGGGAATTCGGTGTCGTTATAGGTGCGTGAGTAAGCATCTTCTTAGGTCGCAGTTTAATTGAACAACAGGGGTGATTGCAGGAGAGTTTTTCATGCAACCAATCTGAAAACACGATGAGTAGCTTGGTTTCGAGGGTACGAAATTGCGCCGGGACTATTTGTGTACAATGATCATGCGGGTTGTGTTCTTCAAGCAATTGGGAGAAGTCCTGACCGTACGTTTTCCCGCGAATAAAACGAACGGCCATTATAGCTGTATTTACTTGGATTATGACCATGTTCTATGAAGGGGAAGGCGGTATGTGTGGGGATTCATTCTGTTTGCCATCAGATATGGTGTCTTACGAACTAGGGGTGTTGAGGACTGGCTACTGTTTTTAAGTGGACGATGGAGATTACGGTGGCGCCGAGTTATAAGTAGTTTCGACCACAATACCGTCTTCCGGGCAACACAACGTGCCCTGAACATGAATGAATCCTATTTTGCCGGTCCGATAGTCGTGGTGAGGACACGTTGTGTGCAAGGGAAGACCGAGGACGTGGGACACACTGTAATATGTAGCCACGCAATGTTTAACCTTTGCTTGCCCTTCGGAATGAGGAACTCTGTGCGTCAGTCGAGGTGTAACTCGCAGAACATGAGTCTGTGGATGTGTGATGGTGATGTGCGTGGTGGGCACACTGAGGGTTGTGAGTTCTTGTTTTTCTTTAATTTTTACATTCAGGGCGGAAGAGTGACTATCTTATCCTTCTCGTTCATAGCTATGAGAGCTGCTATATTTTGACCGTTTAGATTCGCAATGAGCTAAAAAAGGATGTCAATGACGAGACTTCGTTTGCATATCTGCTTGACTATCGTCTTCACCCGAATAGAACGCCCGGTCATTATTGTCTCTGTACATAGAACGGAAATTGCACGATAATGACCGGACGCTGTATGCGGGTGAAGACGGTAGACAGGCAGAATCCCAATCGTCAGATACGTTGGAGTTAGGTTTACACTGAGGAGTTGCAATGAAGAGGCAAAAATGACTAGTCGTTGGCGTTTCTCGGTCTGAGCAAGGGGGCTTCTGGGCTTGTGATGGCAGTTGCGTCGACTTAAAATTAGGAGAGTACATGATGTGAAGATGGGCTATATTTTCAGAGAAAGTGAAATTTTAAGAGGCTGCTTTATTTTCACAGTAGTCCAAAAAAGGCTATGGATGTCGTACTTGGGGGGGGGGGGGGGGGGCGAATTTGGGGAATGGTGGTGCAAAATTTGCGCAGAAGGTGCGACGGCACGAGGGGCTTACTCACACGAGGTCTCTTTGAACGACTGAGGGCATATTCACACGACTACTTTTCTGCTGAGCTCCCGACGTGATTGCTGTTAAGGTTATCCCGGGCCTCGTCGTAATTGCAGCCAGACACATTCAGGAACGTGTTAGAGTATGACCTGTATCTGGTGGTCACGATTACAGTCAGAGGCATCGTGGAAGTCGTCGTTCGGGCATGCCCTCAACTGAGGAGCTTAGTTTCAGTTGCTGGTGATCGATGATGTAGTTTGATGAGGGGTCGATTTTAGTATGTTTCGAGTGCAATGAGGCGCTAGAGCAGAGCAAAGGTGGCTAGCCTGTGCTTGGCCAGTACTGCGAGAAAAGGTCTACGGTTCACTGCCGCACTGATGTTGTGTGCACCTGGTAGGCCACTTCCAGTAATTTTTGACCATTTGCGATCGTTGTTCAAACCATCAGACGAGCTGACCAACAAAACATACATGTCCACAGTCGGATAGAAAATCCGACGGCCCTTTCACAAACTGGCAAATGTAGTCTCCAGCACGGGGAGCTTCCTCACGTGACGGCAAGTGTTGCCATAGCATGCACTTCCTCGTTAGTCTGCGCTGCCCTTTACGCTCCCGCCCCCTTGCCCCAAACGCCCCCGCCCCCTTGCCCCAAAACAAAAGAGGGAGGGGGGGGGGGAGAGAGAGAGAGAGAGATAGAGAGAGAGAGAGAGAGAGAGTGGGTGCCTGCTGTCTTTTGTTTTCTTGCTTTGGAAACGTGCGTCTCCCTTGAGAATGACGCCCTTAGGCATCTGCTCGACGGGGGTTTGAACTCTCACCTCATGCTCTTAGGTCGGAACCTCACCTCCTGGGTTAATGTGAGGTCGTCGTTTTGTGTTCTGAAATGGTTTTCACAGCGAAGTGGAATCTGAAGGAGATGACTCGTTGATCACGAAGCTCCAAAAGCACACCGCTGCGGTACGTATTCTTAGATGCGTTTCTCATCGATACGCTGTTTCGGCTCTTTTGGTTTTCCTCTCCCGTGCTCTCCTCTTCAGCAACTCTTCTTCGCATATGGACGAGCCATGGGTCCATTTCCTACACTTGTATTGAACTCTAATTCATTACCTACTCTCTATCTAGATTGGTGTATGAAGTAATCGTATCCCAGGAAGGTGTATGGAGAAATCATATGTCATCAGGGCAATATGGTTGTAGGATAACTATGTTTGATGGATTTCGGTTTTGTAGATTGCTATATTTGGTTTTGTTGGTTATTGTATTTGATTGATTATTGTATTTGATTGATTAATGGTTGCTGCTTAAAATTTATTCCATTGAAGCAACTATATGTGACATCAAAACGTTCCTCGGGGTTCTGAAAGTTTCGTATTACAGTATTTGGAAGGATCGTGGAGAAAAGCTGTCCGTTGAAAGCCACAGGGGAATCTGCTCTTTTGACTGAAGTAACGAATGTTGGTTGTTTTATGCAGAGAGGCTGTATGTTCCGTAATTCGGTGTAATGTTATGTAAGTCGTCACACATGTCGCGTACTACGAACCTTTTCGGTACTTTTCTTTTTGAAAAGGAACCTTCTCGGTTCTTGGGTTGATGCTGTCTACAAGATTATAAGGTGTTCAGTTTTGCATCTGGCTAAGGAAGGAATGGCATACTCTGGAAGCTGGTGATCAACAGGCTGAACCACTAACCGTCTCTTCCAAACAAAACGCACCGCTCATCGGGACCGTATTGGGCCGAAAATGTAGCTTGTATCCATTCATGATGAGGGTGCGTTCTGTTCACGGGAAGGGGGTAGTAGGTTTTTTTGGGTTGCTCTTTCTCTCCCCCCCCCCCCCCTCTGGTAGGTCGTGGGGGAGATACGGTCCGAAAATGTAGTTTGTATCCATTCATGATCAGGGTGCGTTCTGTTCGCGGGAAGGGGGTAGTAGTTTTTTCTGGGTTGCTCTTTCTCTCCCCCGCCCCCGTCCTTCTCTGGTAGGTCATGGGGGAGGTTACGGATTTAAAGGCCTCAGAAAGACAGGTTAACGGATGTAAAGGCGCAGGAAAACAGGTTTCTCAGGGCCGAAAATGTAGCTTGTATCGATTCATGATCAGGGTGCGTTCTGTTCGTAGGAAGGGGGTAGTAGGTTTTTTTGGGTTGCTCTTTCTCTCCCCCGCGTTTTTTTGGGTTGCTCTTTCTCTCCCCCGCCCCTCTCCTTCTCTGGTATGTCGTGGGGGAGGTTACGGATTTAAAGGCGCAGAAAGACAGGTTAACGGATTTAAAGGCGCAGAAAGGCAGGTTTCTCAGACCTGTCCGATGTTTGATAGGACTGAGGAGTCGTCCCCACTGTAACGGTTTGGTTAAAACCAGGAGGCTGGTGAAAACTAGGAGCCTACCGTCTTCACCCGAATAGAATGCTCAGTAATTATCACTGTACCTAGACTGATAGTTGCACCAAGTACAGCTGTAATGACCGGGCGTTCTATTCGGGTGAGGATGGCAATCTGGCCGTGACCGTATGTGAGAATTGCTGGTTGAAGAGATCTAATCCTGCTTCAGACAAGGAAATGTGATGGACTGCTTTTCACCCAACCTTGTGGAATTGAAGAAAAGAAACGAACGTAATGTGTTGTGGGGGTGTTTTCGTTTCAGGGATTTTGTTGTTGCACGAAGTAAAAGAAAACAATGGGGGTTGGGCAAGCGTGTGTGTGTACAGTGTGTGTGGCTCTTTGCTGCGAAATGGGAGTTGCGGTGTGGAGAGCTCTGAGTTGATATCGTCGTTTTTGAATCGAATTACTTTGGCCAAGCCTTCCTGCGAATGCTGGTCGTCATCTTGAAAATAAAATTCCCACGCCTCCTCCCCTTTTTACCCCCAAATTTCATTTTTTCTGCTCTGAATGACACAGTAACCCGGTGTATATTTTTTACTGCACGTATGTGTGATGCGCGTGTGGTACAGAAGTCAACGCATCCACATATGCTCTGCAAAGTTGCAAGGAAAATAAGAAATAGCGAGATGACGATTCCAGATCACACCATCACATTGAAAGCCAAATAGTCACACCGTGTCCAGAGAGCAGCATTGAACCAATAATACACCAATGGAGGTTCGTAGCACTGAAAACCAATGTTAATGGAGAGCATACTCTCTCCTCTCAACACAAGAGTCCAGTTCCTTCACACTCACACTTGGCGCTCAGCGCCCAGCCTACTCGTACACAGCTACTATAGACTACGAAATGACAATGCAACTCTTGACATCAGCGGCAGCCTGAAATACTTGAACATGTCGCCCATGCAGACCATCACCAATACAAGGTATGTGCCCTCACATCATCATCATCATCCTTCACCTATCCCCTGATTACACCCACGTCTGTCCTCTGTTTCACCCGAAGACCACCCCTGCGCCTCACTGTAGTCCAAGCCCAGCCTGCTATGAAGGCTGGCTATGGCGCTGCCCTCAGCAGTGCCCTTCTTCCCTGCACGACCGTACGTGCTGCACCTCGTCTCTCAGCGCCAGCCAGCAGCCGCGAGTCTTTGCTCCAGCAGCGCTGCCGCCAGCATGCGAGTGCTTGAATGCGGCAGCCAGGGCAGAGCTCTTTCCTTTATGGAAAGAGTTGGCCTGCTTGCGCAGCCTGGCTGCACTGGCCTGGGCCCAGCAGCTTCCGGAAGGCCCCAGGAGGCTGCCTGTGTACAGCAGCTACACTGCTGCTGGGCCTCGTTCGGTTGGGCACCCAGCTGTCTCTGTATGAGGCTGCGAATCACGCCCAGGGCCTGCATTCTTTGGAAAGGCCCGGAGGGCCGTGGAAATGTCTTTGTTGCTCCTCCTGTGTTTCTCTCAGCTAACTGGCGCGTCGCAACTGCCTTGACCCCAAATGTGAAATTGACAGTTGAGGGCCTCTTGCAAAAAGGCAGGCCCGCCTTCACTTAAGGCGGGCACATCTGCCTTCACTTAGGGTGGGTAATGCTGCAAGCAGGGCCCCATAAGCCTACCGAGGACCCTGATCCTCGCATTCCCTCCTCCTTTACTTCGTGAGTCCTCTGAGAAGTCTATTATTCTGCAGGCATCTTCCACTTGAGTGCTCTTTCATAGCCTGCAATCACTTGAGGTGCTGTTCTCATGAGTTCTTCTCGTGTGAACCACTGGTCTTCTTTAGGATCCAGATGATGTCTGAAGCTCATACGATATTGCATTCTCGGTTTAGGAGGTCGACCTCTGCCTGATGGTCGAGGAACAGGCATCACTCGATGCTCGATAATCTGGTCAATGTCCACCTCGCCATCCATGGTTGGGAGCAGCATTGATCTTTTGGAAGGAAACTGATCAGTGGCAGCAAAAGGTGCCAGCTTGGANTGCTCGCAGAAGCACTCCCAGGATTTGAAGATAAACCCACCACTGTTGGTGAGGTTACCTTCGTTGTTACCTTTTTGCCACGGCAAGTCCTGGACCTGTCTCTTATACACATCTAGATGTGTAGCTTCCGGAAGGCCCCAGGAGGCTGCCTGTGTACAGCAGCTACACTGCTGCTGGGCCTCGTTCGGTTGGGCACCCAGCTGTCTCTGTATGAGGCTGCGAATCACGCCCAGGGCCTGCATTCTTTGGAAAGGCCCGGAGGGCCGTGGAAATGTCTTTGTTGCTCCTCCTGTGTTTCTCTCAGCTAACTGGCGCGTCGCAACTGCCTTGACCCCAAATGTGAAATTGACAGTTGAGGGCCTCTTGCAAAAAGGCAGGCCCGCCTTCACTTAAGGCGGGCACATCTGCCTTCACTTAGGGTGGGTAATGCTGCAAGCAGGGCCCCATAAGCCTACCGAGGACCCTGATCCTCGCATTCCCTCCTCCTTTACTTCGTGAGTCCTCTGAGAAGTCTATTATTCTGCAGGCATCTTCCACTTGAGTGCTCTTTCATAGCCTGCAATCACTTGAGGTGCTGTTCTCATGAGTTCTTCTCGTGTGAACCACTGGTCTTCTTTAGGATCCAGATGATGTCTGAAGCTCATACGATATTGCATTCTCGGTTTAGGAGGTCGACCTCTGCCTGATGGTCGAGGAACAGGCATCACTCGATGCTCGATAATCTGGTCAATGTCCACCTCGCCATCCATGGTTGGGAGCAGCATTGATCTTTTGGAAGGAAACTGATCAGTGGCAGCAAAAGGTGCCAGCTTGGAGGCAGGAAACACTGGGTAGGTGCGTAGGTGTGCAGGAATACGGATCACGTATGAAGGCCCATCCGGTTGATCCCCTACAATGTCCAAGATCTCCCAGGGCCCAAAATACTGCGGCATCAGTTTTCTAGATATCCCCATCTTCTGACCTAGTTCAGATGACTTTACCCAGACTMTATCACCTAYCTGAAAGTTRGAGGGCMRTCTATGCTTATTCTCGRATGCGATCATAGCATCCTGAGACTTCTTAATATGTTCAACGGCCTGCTGCAGCATCTGTTCATATTGGACAGCAAAGTCTATGCTGCCAGGTGCTGCAGTGGATTGTCTTTCTGGTAGCAGAAAGTCAAGTGCAGTGCTGGGTTTCCAACCAAGATGTACCTGGTTGGGAGTCAAACCGGTAGTACTGTGCACAACATTGTTGTACAAGCTGGCGACGAGCGGTAACTTCTCGTCTCAGTCATCCTGACTTGGCTTAATGTAATGCCGAAGCAGGTGCTGTACTACCCGGTTCATCTGTTCTACCTGGCCATTTGACTCAAGGTGATTCCCTGAGGTCATTTGGAGTTTGGTACCCATCTGTTCAGCGGTTGACTGCCACAGTTCACTCGTGAATCTCACATCCCTATCACTAATGATGGACGTAAGCAACCCAATATCACGTACCCAATTATCCATAAACAGTTTGATGTCGTAGTCAGTTTTGGCTGTTTTTGGCATGGCGATCAGTATGGCGTACTTGGTAAAACGGTCCACTATGACAAAGATGTGTCTCTTTCCTGACTTGCGGGTCACAAGGGTATCCATG